TATATTAATATAATTAAATATTAATATAATCTTATAATTTTAATATTATTATATATTATAGTGTATTACACACGTTATAGTTATATAATATATTAATTATAATATATTTTAATATAATATAATAATGATTATAATATATTATATTATAATATAATGATAATTTTTAATTATATTATAATTAAAATATTAAAGAGGTGAGTTGTCAGTTAATCTCTACAGGAGAATGATCCCACATATTGGGTGAATCTTTGAATAATGCTTCATTCCAGAGTGTAAAAGAAAGCTTAGTATAGCAATTGAATTGACCTTTTGTACTGAGGACGACCTATGAGATGGTTTGAATCGGTTCTCAAACCTACTACTGTATGAACAGTGTTCTTCGGCTAAGGCTGGCAAATCAAAGTCTTTTTTGTTAAAAAGAGATCTTTTTCACTCACGACATTCATTCAAATGAAAGAAATGTACACGGCAAACGAGAATAACAAGACTCTATGTTTAACACATAAGTTCATTCCATATCAAATTACTCAGGCCTCGACAGGGCGAGAGTCAAAGTTATTGCCCAGCACAATAGAAGGAAGGGCAAGAGAATAGGCACTGGCATCTTAACTACTTGAAATACGGACTATCTAAAATAAATGGGGAGGGAATGAGAAGAGAGCCTATTTTCAGGCTTAAAGGATTTGCTACTTGATTAGAAAAGGAGTTACCTAGCTAGTGGAGCGAGGGGAGGTGCTTTGACATCATTTTCCACGATTCCGACATTGAGATCTCTCTGCCTTATTATGAGAATATTTCTTATATAATATTATAATATAGTTTATAATATTGTAATTATATTAATTATTTTAATAATGTTATTATATTCTATATTATAGTTATATAATATGTTATTAAATAATAATTTTATTGTATTATATTAAATACAATAATAAATATACATTATATTATATTATAGTATAATATAATATAGTTGTAATTTTTAACTATCAACAGCAATTCAATCTCATAATTTACTAAACGCTATTACACTGATTTTGAAACCAGTACAGCTACTATAATTATAGTTTACTAAACACTCAACTGCCTTTTGTAACAGCTGCTTTTTTCTTGAGCACGGCTAAAAGTAAATTTTTTTAAATCTACAGCACTACCAAACTAGCCATTATCCACTAGGATTAGGAATTTATCAACTTACAAACATAAGACAACAAAAATTCAGATTTTTTTTCTAAAAATTAAGTATTTAAAAGGGACATTCATCATAATTTTTCTTTTTTTTCCTCCTCCTTTTATTTTTCTGAATGAACTAGCTAAACTTTTTTTTTTTGAAGGCCACTAGTTTCTTATTTTTAAATAAATCTTTTGTGGTAGGTACTTAGGATATTTTCGTCATAGTTTATGGTATTTATTTACGGTTTAATTATACTTTTTTGATGTTTATTAAAAGGAAATACCGTTGGTGTTCCAGCTTATTATATGAACCTTTTTATAATAGTGATATAGAATAAAATGGTTGTGGCAATTTTGATGGGACATCACCATTATCTTAAAAGCAATTTTATTGAAAATCAAAACATTAGTTGAAAAGGTTATCTTTTTCCAGTACATGGGTAATCACCATTGTCTTAAAAGTAATTTTATTCAAAATCAAACATTAGGTGAAAAGGTTATCTATCATATTCCAGTACATGGGATGGGTCATTGACCAAAATCCTAATAGGCTATAGCCATATCCCTTTTTCATGCTAAACTAGTAAATAACTCTAGAATATTATTATCTTACATTAGAAAAGAAAAGAAAAACTAGAGGATAGAAAATAGAAAAACAGTAAAGTAAACAAGATGGAAAAAAAAAAAAAAATTGCCTGCATATATCGTTTATCCTTGTTAAATTTGAATCTAAATTAACAATAGAATCCAAATAACCTAATATTAACATTATTATATCTGTTTGTGATAAGCTAGCGTGCAAAAAGCCACTTATAATTCAATGCAATTGTAATTAGATGTCTCGATCGTAAGTACACTATAATTATCTTTGTATTGTAGTCTTCTAAAATATACATTTTAATTAGTGTTTTTTTTTTTTTTTTTTTACTCGTAAGTCAAGAGATCCATTTCACTCTTCTAGAAGCCATATATTCTATCCATCTCATGAAACTCTTTAAAGACAAAAACATACTAGCAAGTAGGTCCCTTAATTATCTTTTAGAACTAGTATATATATATCTTTTTCTATGCTTGTCATTTTGTTATTTTTTCCAACTAGACAGCTATTAAGCACCACCAGATTTTAAAAAAAAATCCACAAATTTTTGTATATATTTTTCCATGCGTGAAAAGCATGCTTCAAGTCTTCAACACAAGGATGGATACGAAAAGGATATCTGTGGCGCTGGCTTCTCTCTTTTACTTCAGGTATAAGAATTTGAACTCTAAATAAATAAATAAAAACATTCTCGAAGGCACTTGGAGAAAAATGTTTTTATGAAAATTTATGAGACAGATCAAGATCCGGTGTAGTCATGAGGCTGCATGCTTGTATGGTGTCTGAATCATGTTTCACACATTGCGTCAAGGATTCTTGTCTTTTTTGGTAGATTTTTTTTAATGAAAAATGTTTCAAACTAAAAAAAAAAAGATATAAACATCTTTGTATCTATATACCAATTAAAATGAGATGTATACGTTGAGACCGTTTAAAAAACGCAAAAAAAAAAAAAAATTTTTTTTTTTTGGGCCTAAAAAAAGCTAATGAACGTTTAAAAAAAAAAAAAAAAAAAAAAAAAAAAAAAAAAAAAGGTGAGGCTCTTGTATTTAATTTCCTTTGTTTTTAATTGGTAGATCGCTTTTTTTTTTCCTGCTTTAATAATTGGTATATAGCTTGATAGTGTATCATAATGTTTGTCAACATTACACTAGCTCTATTTTTTTTTTTTTTTTTCCTATAATCTCTTCCTACGTTACTTCAGCCGCCAAAAACTTCTTTGGTGAGTTTTTGCCTACAAATCAACATTCTCATGCTGTTCTCAAACAAAGAGACATCCCAATGATGAGATTTAAAAAATATATATTTAATTTTTCAGAATTATAAAAACTTAGACATACACAAAAAAAAAAAAAAGAAAGAAATAAAACAACCAAACAATCGGCCGGTATTTACGAGGCAATTACGTGGAAGATGATGAATTCAATTCTTATCTTTTGTATGCTTCTGACGCATTAAAATATATCAACGCATTTGTATGCACAAAGTAGCGCAGACGTTAAAAATTATAAAATAAAATACTTTTTTGCAAGAAAGATTCAAAACAGAGTGCACACGAATCTTTCTTTTTGTCCATTGCACGACGGGAATCACAAAAGTATCGGGCCCGTTCAGTTCGCTAATTCAAATTTTTAATTCGAGTTGAGATGTGATGTTGTGTAAGAGTTTTTTACTGTAGTAAAAAAGCTAGATGTAACTGTTTCTGAGAGCTTTTTACTGTAGCAAAACTCGAATCAGCGAAAAAAATAAGGCATTATCTAATGGTAAATGTATTCAGCATATAAATAAGTTTCAAAATTGGCATGTGGGCATGTGGTGGCTTCTGGTTTGATCAAGTGAACATTTATAAGAACTTAATTTCTTAATGAAAGATAAACCTATATAACTGTTGTTGTTCATGGTTATTTTTGACCGATTGATTGAAACTTTCATGTTTATGAGTATGTTACATAACTCTATAAGGATGAAGACAATTGTGGTCGATTTGGTCGTGAATTTTGCCTGTCTTGTTATGCATGCGTGTGTTTTATGTAAAATAAATAAATAAATCTATTAAGATGAAAGCCAAACGAGATTTGGTTAATTAGTAATTAAATGAACGCTTTTCTTTTTGTTATGCGCTGCAGTGGGACCAATATAGAAAAAAAAAAATGCTACTTTAATTTTTTTTCTTTTTTTTTTTTCTAATCAAAATAATGCCACTTTAGTTTATTCACACCAAGATTTCCATTTACAGAATTTATGTAGTACTTGCGAAGAAAGAAACCAAACTGAGTAGAGCGCCCATGGTAAACTAAGGACACTCCTCCATCTAAACAAAACCACAATTAAACATGACCAAATCCAAGCCCTTTATTCCACGTGTCACACGGCGTACGTGTAAAAATAAATGTTATTTTGGCCCTCTTTCTACGCTTTGCTGGCTCTACCAACCAGACTCCGACGCCCTATAAATAACAATGAAGTCCTCACGCCATTCTTAAACCTCTCTCTTTTCTTCTTCCTCTTATTTTCTTCGTTTGTAACTGATACTCTGCAGAAGGTAAACCAAAGAGTCTGTTTCTTCTTTGCCAATTTCCAGAGTACAAAATCCTCAAAAATTATAACATCTTTTTTTTTTTTTTTCTCTTTTTTGTACCCTAT